GTGGATAATCAGCGGAGGCATTGGTGAGAACATCGCTCTATCGTGAGTTGAGGGAATTAGAAATCATGGGTCGTTGAATTCCAGCTTAAGTGACCGAATGGTCGTCAATGAACTTTGTCTCGCAACCTGAAGGTTACTTCTAGAGAGGCCCAACATAGGATGAAACAGCTGTCCAGTGTTCCCTGGTTTTCAGTGATCTCTCTAGACAGATATTATTTTGTGATCTATACATAACAAAAGTAGAATTTAATTTGGTTATAAGGCGTATTCCATAGCGAACTAAAATTAATTAAGGGGTAGTGATCAGCCTTGATTTCTCATTTTCATACTTTTATGCGGTACTCATTCATGAATGCGATATAACGTCAAATATATATATATGCATGTATACTTTAACTCCGTTGTACTAAGCCTCAAGTTTTCGCAAACTGCTCACTTATTAAATTCGAATTTTAAACCTTTAAATCATTTGGAGTTCAATACTTCACTTTTGTGATCTCACGGATAACTTAAAAAAGAACTTGTATTGTGTATTCTGTCATTATTGATATTTATAATAATAGTGTAGTGTTGACCTTGGATAGATTTGAGTTCCACTGAGTATTTGAAACTGACTTCCAGTGGCTTTTTCAAATAGGACGATGTCGGGATTTGTAAGGTACAACAAAGCCCCTTTTTTAATTCTGGGAATAAACAACACTTTACGCTTTAATGTAAGTCAGTGGTCCAATGGTAGAATGTTTGCTAACCACGCCGCAAGTTGTCCGGGGCTCGATTCACAGTCGATTCACTCCTAAACCCTGCTTAGCTGGTCCCGTAAGGAGAGGAGGTTGGGCAGGGGTCTATTAACTCCACCCTGCAAAAAGCAACACCGCCGCTACCACTGAGCTGAAACTTCAAAGATCGAACATGAAGCTTTGATGCTGATATTGCAGAAGTCATGAGTTTTGTTTGAGAAAGAAGTAAATGATTCCATTTCAGACAAATTTCAAACAAAATCAAAGAAGTTCGTATGATTTTTTATAGCTTAGCCAGTGAATAAATATAAAAGTGCTTAGCATTTATGACCAAATGACCTAGAAATCAAAGAAATCTTCTAATGCTGAATAATAAAACCTACTTTCTTTGCATTTCAACTTTGATTAAGCTGAAACACTAGGTCACCAAAAAAAGGGGTGGATATCTCTTGCTTAATAAATTCATAATAACATTTGGATTTAGTTTTTCGCTCAATCGAGAAAATGTAGACGACTGGATTCAAAGTAACAATCATGGCGACATCGAGCAGATTTTTCTAGTAACTTTAAGGATTACGGTTTCAGGATGGGTTTTCGCATGAACTGATATCAGTTAAAGAGCCATTGTAAATGAGAAACTAATGGACATCTCTCCTTTCTAAGTTTGAGACTTTTGAGCAGCGCACACTCAAAACCTTCAGGCAGTGGGGAAGGTAAATTAATTTTAGGTCATTGGTTTCTGGTTGTCAGTAAGATACTGGTATTCACTGCTGAAGAGGCTCGAACTAAGGTGAGAGAAGTGTCCAGTACTCTGTTTTGTTTCCTAAGCCCCCTTAAGTGATGTTGGTTTATAACCGAACCAACTTTGAAATCAACCAGATTCTCACGTATCCAACTGCTGAGTACTGCTTTTCACTGTGCAGGATTAAACTTTGAGCTTTTGGTATATATATGTCTTTATAAACAGAAGGAATTGTAACAGAGGCCTGAATTATTGTAGGACTTGAATCAGGTGTCTGAGACTTTCTAAAAAATATACCTAAGGTATTAACCTATTAAACTGAGGCTATTTCCGATAGTCTCCTTTAATAAGGGAATTAAATTTTCAGGAATTTGTTAGTGGGGATTTGATTTGTTTGAAGTTTAATCATGGATATATGTCATTTAGAGGAACAATGAAAGCCAGAAAGAACTGGGCAGCTATTTCGTTCCAGTTTGGGACTCCTCAGCGGGGCATACATACTACCCCACCAAGGATCAAACCTGGGAGCTTATGGTTACGAGGCCAGACTCACTAGTGACTGGTTACGGGAATAAGTTGCCAGGAGTTCTAGTCGGAAGTTGTGACTAGAGGTGTTGGTCCACCAAGCTGGGTGTGAGGACAAACATTCGCAGTGACATTGCTGGCGGTGTCACTGAAATCACCGACTGGAAGATGTTAAAGTTCACGGGTAAATGAATCCCAGCCGAATGGTCAGTGAACCTGGCCTCATAACCTGAAGGTAACGAGTTCAACTCATGTTGAGGTCATGAGTGCACAGTGCTGAAGAGTCTCAAATTGGGACGAAACAGCTGTCCAGTACTCTCTGGTTTTCAAGGGTTTTCTAACTCACACTAACCTGTGATCAAACTTACGAGGATATAAAATTGACTTGGAATTGTTAAAAGTATTAAATTATGAATATTGTTCTCAAAAGATGATTATCACTTAAAATGTTGATACCTGCACAATGACAAAGACATTTTCTGTTTTAATTCAAGTGAAAGGTAAGGTATTTAATACCGGGTGATTTTTGAATTAACCGAATTGTGTGGAAATATTATTCGGCCGAAATGCTTAGTGTGAACGGTGCTTTTACTTGTGCATCACGATTTCAGTGGAAGTCAGCAGAGAGACACAGAGTATGCACACGATTCAGTTTGTATGAATAGTTGTAAGCAGTTCTTGACCTGAATTATCCTAGAGAGACTCAAAGATGCTCTAGGTGCAAAACTGAATCCGGAAGGAGATGGATGTAGGAAAAGCGAATCATGTACGGACCGAATTGCAACGCTGTATGATCATCATCGAACTGACCATGGTATGGCAGTCAAATTACTGCCTCAACTTCATCGATTTTGAAAACGTCTTTGATAGCTTGAAGTAATTTGGAGACTGCTTCAGCACTACTCAGTACACTGCCACAAACATGTATAAACCCATTTGAACGGCTATTTGACGATACCATATGCTAAGTAATTCACAATGGAAAACTCAGCGAAGCCTTTGAAGTGAATACAGGAGTAAGGCCGTGTAATATCAATGATGATATTCCTAACTGTGGTGGACTGTATTATGCGGGAGACTACGGCGAGCAAAAAGACAGGAATACGTTGGATCGATATGAAGACCCTAGAAGTTCTGGGGTTTGTCGATGATTTATGTATGATATCACAAAACCTCGAAGACTTACATGCGAAAACCAGCAAGTTGACAGAAGAGGCAGGCAACGAAGACGGGATTCCAGGTGATTGTAGAGAAGACGGACGGACAACGATCAACACAAATCACCATCAACCGAAACAAATTGAAAGATATCACTTCTTCCACTTGTCTAGGAAGCATCGTTTAAACTACAGGTGGCACAGATAACGATATCGAAGGCAGGATCGGAAAGACAAGACGGACATTCATCACTCTGAAATCCGTTTGGAAACCTGCTGCACTCAGCATGAGGAATAAGACTCAGATTTCCAACACTAATGTGAAGTCAGTTCTCCTATGTGGTTGAAAGACTTGCCATGTCTTTTGCCTAAAGTGTTCCCAGGAGGCACCAAACTTTTATCACTAGCTGATTTCGTTGGCTGAATACCGAGGGTCAGATAATCGAAAAGGACTAGCAACAAGGAACTTGCAAACTTGACTGATAGAATTCAGTTTGCACCAAACAAAGGACTAAAAACACTACACTAGTTAATAATTATTGTCCAGTCAAGAAGAATATCCCGTACACTCCGAGAGGAGGTCAGTCACGAGCCCGAGTAACTCATTGGTAACGTCTCTGACTGCACCACTGGGTGGCGCGGGTTCGAATCTCAGAATGGACATGAGTCCCTTCAAGGTTGCAGATACGCCTTGCTGACTAGTGAGTGCCAACTAGCCCAAAACCTAGATCCAAGACTTCTTGTGGCCGATTGCCCCCAACCATCCAACATCAGCAATTTAAAGTGCAATGTGATGGCGAACCACCTAGAATGGTGGCCACATTGCAAAATTGACTGATAAAGTTCCGTCTACACCGAAGAAAGGACTAGACACATTACACTAGCTACTAACTAGTGTCCGATCAAAACAAAGAACTCTGCCAAGGAACGAATCAACCGACAACCTATCATCCAGCAGATATGCCGAAGATAATGGAAATAAACTGAACATCTACTGGGGAGTCCAGTGAGTGACAGCACGCTGCAGATCCTCTAGTAGAACCCGAATGACAAACGACGAGTTGTGTTTCCGACGGTAATATGAAGAAGATCATATCAAGAAGAAACGAAAGCTTATGGCAATTGTGGAACCAGCTAAAATAGACTAAAGATAACAGAGTAATCTGGAGATGTGTTGCTGAAGCCCCAGATTCCACTCGAAATAGTTCTGTTTACATGTGAATAATCTGGTTACTTTAAGCCTTTATTTTTAATCCCAGTAGTAAAAAATTAGTTGAGGTGCATTTTCTAACTAACGGATAGGATTCAAGACAGAAAGATCTGCAAGGAAACATTTTTATTTCGTTGACAAAATGACTTAGTGGAATAAATGTATTCGTATATAAGAGTTAAGACCAACTGGAAATCATTCAGTTGTTCACTATCTTACATCTACTGCATTCTCTACAGATTATATAACTTGAAATAAACCACGTAACCATTGCGTAATCTTCTTTTTGTTTGTTTCGGGAAGTGATGTCCAGGTTTCTGCTTTTCTAAAACTTAAATCATTTAATAACATTGTGAACACCTTCACATTCGACCTATCAGTAGCTATGTTTCTTATACACAACTGGCCTCGACCTAAAGTTAACTAGTGTTGTTTAATGTTATCACAGACGTCCTACTTTTTCAAGAATATCTTTTGAGCCCCTCTGTAGATAAAATGATGTATGAGTAATGCACAAGGAGATGTTTGTTTAGGCGAAAAATATATGACAAAAGCAACGCTTATTATTTGTTTAAAAAAAATGAACATCTGTGGATAGAAATTATTTAAAAATTTAAATTTCGAATTACCTGACAAGAAGTGGAACAGTCTACTGTTTGACTTCTTGGCCATCTGCAGATTTCAAGACACTAAAATTAGAAAAGAAAGACAAATAAACAATCACAGCATAAATAAGCTAAGACAGAATTAGCAATGATGAAATAATATTTATCGTCAAAAAATTAGTAGACACTGAACTTGTCTTTTCGGTGAAACGAGATTCATGAACAAAGTGTAGTGGTCACCTGAAGAAGACTGATAATGAAAGCAGCGAACCGCCTAAAACGTCATCACAGTCAGAAGTACTGAACTATGGTGTTTCACTTTACTGTAGATCAGGTCACGAGCTGACATCAGTTACAGAAGTCGTGACTAGCGAGGTCCAACAATTTAGGTAAGAGGATAGTTAATCGCCTTTGATATTGACTGGCGGCCATATTATATATATATATATCAAGAACTAGGAGTTAGAATTCATGCCCCATTGGATCGCGTTCCAGTGGCTGAATGGCCTGCGACCTCACCATGTAACCAGAAGGTCCTGGGTTGTAAACATGGTAGGCGCGTGCCGATGAAGCGTCCCAAACGACAATGTCTAGAACTCCCTGGTTCTTAGTGGCCCTCTGAATGATGTCACCCCATGATTAAGCCTGTCACTTATAGGAATAACTTGAGTAGACGAGTACTCACAGACAAGGGTGGAAGTCTGGACGCTTATACTACCAAATAGCACATTTTTAATATAAATATAATAATCCATTGACGGACAAATGGTGTAATTACTTAATAACTAACGTTCCTAGACTTTTATGCCTACTAATTTGCATTGATGTAAGGCCGCCAACTAAAAAAAACCATTGGTTTCCAGTGGTATTTGATATGATCTACCCTGTAAGCAATTTTCGTTACTTTTAACATGCTTCACGTTTATATCACAAGAGAGAATAACTTGGGCAAAGTAGAGTCGGTGAGGAGAGAACAAGCATGATACACTTATAAGATTGATTATGGACTCAAAGCATATTTTTGTGTGAATGTAGCTTCAGGCGGTCAGATTAATTATCACTAGGGAATTTTGTTATTTTATATGAATTAGATTTTGGTTAATTTTTTTTAGCTTCATTATGAATGTGGATGTGAATTGTTAAAACATAGTGGGAAGGTATGCAAGATTTTGACTTATCAACGAAAAATGAATATCGTTAGAAAAAATGTTTTACTTAGTGTTAGTTAACATAAATAATTTTATATGCATTTCTTTTGTGAATACTGTCCATTGTAGGAAATATTCAGAAATAAGAGTTTTTGATCTAAATCAGATTGTTGTTACTCTCGTCTTTGTTATTACTGTTACTAACGCGAATACGCTTTTTGATAAGCACTGACGGCAATATATAATATAAATCCAAAACAATAATTTGCACGAATTTGACCATTTTCAAGTATTATTTTGAAGGGATTCGAAGGAATTCAAGTTAGATCACTTTTTTTAGAAATTCCTTTACGTTCCCCAGTGAAATATAGGGCTTCAAGCTAAAGGCTTGAAGTTTCTGTAGCAGTGGTGATTATTTTTACAGGATTGGGTTGCTAGCCTCATGCCCAACCTTCCCTCTTTACCAGTCTTACTACTAGCTTAGCGAGGTAAAGGAACGCGTCGGTTGGGTATCGAACCCCGGACCACCTGCGTGGTGGGCGATAGATCAATTATTAGATTTTGGTCATGAACTAACATTCGTTTGAGAGATAATTGAAAATCAATTAATAATCTGGATATCAATCGCCAAATCACTGATGGTTACTGGATGAATTTCTTGAAGCTGAAGTGGATATTCGTGACCATTGGGGCTCACGAATGTCAAGATGAAGTGGATGCTCGTTGAAGGCACTGGTGAGGGCAGCGTTATATCACTAATCGACAAAGTTAGAATCTACGGGTTGTTGAATTCCATCCTATGTGCCTGAGTGGTCAACAAGCTTGATCTCTCAGTCTGAAGATCCCAGGTTCGATCCTTGTTGGTCGCAAAATTAGAATGAAACAGCTGGCTGTCCGGTGCTGCTTGGTTTTCGGTGACCTCTACAAATGATGTTGGTTCGTGACCAGTATGTAACAGTCGAAGTTAACTCCGAAATCCCCACATGTTCAATAGTCTGAAATGATACCGACCACTAAAAACACAGAGTACTGGACAGCTGTTTTGTCCTGTATTGGGAGTCTTCAGTACTACTCTCAAATGGAGTCTAGGACCTTCAGGCTACAAGACTAGCCAGCCACCAGAATGGAATTCAGTGGTCCATGAAGCCTAAAATTTACCTGTTTGCGAAACATAGCGTTAGTCAATTTCTTTGGCGAGTATTTGTCCGTTCATCCGATTCAGTGGACCTCACTGGTCCCTTAATTCTCAACAGAACTTTGGGTAGTTAGTCACTAGTGGGCCTTCGATCCCACTGGTACTTTACTACACTTACTGTTATGACTGTCCATAGTTAATAATATTTCAGCTATGAGCACATTAAAAGCCGTTTTACAAAGTTATTAGATAGTCTCGGTATAATAATTGTTAATAAGCACTGTCCCAAGGACTTTTCTGAAATTAAGTGTCTTACTTCTCATATGGCTGATGGATTTACTGATTTACAGCAAACCTTCATTTCTTCAGTTCTACCACTAGGAAAATTTGGTCCCCTTCTTTATTAACCAAGTTCGTACAAATGCAAAGGCTACTGAAATCACTCAGTAGTCTGTTAACTTTAGTTTGTTGAAATATGAACAAATATCCCTCCCCCAAAGATGATTTAAATCTGATATTTTGGATAAAAAGGGACATAGTTTGAATTCATGCCTCTAGAACACTAATGTATTATTTCCCGAAATGTATAATCTTTCTTTAATCCTTAATAATGCATGGAAAAGGTCACAGTTTTAAGGTCAAATTCATACAAGAGGCTATATGCGTGCTTTTTTTAAAGTGAGTTGATTTTTTTCAAACACAATTAGTACATAATTCTTTAGTTAACTTATTCTGAGTTTGAAAAGCATATGAGTAGTCAGTATCAAAGAGGCGAATTTCTATGCCTTGAAGAGAATTTTCTATCATCTTCAAAAATGAAATCTGCTAAATACTAAGAAAAGTTTTTAAAAAACAGATTGTCGACTTTGTCATTTTCATTTGATAACACTAATCTGTGAAAAATTGACTGCAGGAAACATTCAGTACACTTGCCGACTAAAAATAATTCTTATTTATGCGTAAACTTATCGAATTGACCGCCTTTTTTATGACAAAAATTAAAACAACATCAACTGACTAAATAAACATTAAAACGTACAAGTTTAAAAAAGAAGTAGGTTTGATATTTTGATTAGATTTGTGACAGAAACTAATTTATTTGTCTTTTTGGGTGGCGCTGAGTTCAGAGTGTGAAAAAGACTTAATTTGTCAGTTTTAATGTGACACAAATCGCTTGAATGCTCAGATTTCATCACCAAATCCTTGTTCTTTTGAAGTATTGGCTTTGTAGGGATTGGACGCTGTCTGTATTCAGGCAGTTAACCTGAGGTTCTAGTGGGAAGCCGTGACCAGTAGGGTGCATCAAGGTGAAGGTGAGGCAGTAACTTATTGAAGAAGACATTGTGAAGTGGTCGCGTCATGTCATGAATTGACAGAAGTTGAAAATCATGAACTGGCCATTGGATCGGGTCTCATTGGCTAGATGGTCTACGAGCTAGCTCGCCTTGTAATCCGAGGGTCCTGGGTTCGAACCCTGTTGGTGAGTGCGTACTGCTGAAGAGTCCGACACTACGCTGATGAAACAGCTGTCCAGTACTCCCAGGTTTTGCAGTCGTTCTCTAACTGATGTCAGCTCATGATAAAATCCTTGTTCCTTCAGAAGATGATGTCATGTCAGAAGTGTTTTGGGGATGAAAGTCGGTGACATAATATTAACTTATTATTCAGCACAGCATAGTTCTAAATTACTCTGAGGAAGTACACTTAGTCTGTCATGCAGAATACCACCTGAGAAATGTAATTCAGAATATTTTTCTACTTTCGAGTAGACAAGAGCTGACAGTAATAATTTATATTACTAATAAATCTATCAAAAAACATGGCTGTTGCTCGTTGGTTACTTAAATATCCACAAGCATTGTCACAATTCATCCGGAGTTTATCTTAATGGATTTATTATCAGTTTTATTTACCTTTTGGAGACATCTTAGATGGTATCAAACACTGATGTTGTTGTATTAATCTGCATTTTTTATATAACTAGTATGTTGTACGCATGGACCTGATTAGCTTCACAAATGGCAATAAATCTTAAACCAAAGAGAAGAGACTTCAAGAAGTCGATTTAGCATGTCGCAAGACATCTCTATGCAAGATACTGAAGTCTTCTGATTATGACAAGTAGTGTCTTGCAGACGTCAAGTTCTTTGGACAGTCAGCATGCATGTAAAATTTGAATAGCTAAGATAACGATGTATGTGTTCAGCGAAGAATTCAAAGTATTTATCGAATTGGGAATTATAAAAATTAGTTGACCATTTTGCAAATTACTTGGAAAATTTACACAAATTGAGGTAACTACTTCATTGCAATTTCTTCTAAGAACTGGAAATATTCACAGCACAATAGTTGATCTCCTTCATACCATAAATGGTAATCAAGAAAGAGAGAATGAATTTATGAAACTGTATACTACTTATTGGCTGAGATGAGTAGTTGTATACCACTCATATCAACTGGTAGTGCTTCCTAGCCAATCATATAAAGGTGATTCAAACACAGAACGGTCGTTTCGCTCAGTTAGAGCCTAACTCATTAGCTGTGTACCCGGTTTGAATCAGCTGAGAGAGTCGAGTCAGTTCAAACCACCAGATTTATGGCTAACCAGTTGGGTGAACTATTGTTGTTATTATTTTTCCCTAGGGTTCCTAGTGGAACATAGGGCTTCAATGGTACACCTCCACTTGTTTCTGTCTTCTGCTGTACTTTTCACCTGCATCCATGTTAATCCATACTGTTTCAGCTCCTCTTCACAGGATCTCCTCCATGTCACCCCTGGACGTCTCACTCGCCGCTTCCCT